GTCTACAGGCCCCCATCAGGCTTGCGGGCTTTCCCCGGACACCTGTGCTCCGGCTGGGGCGGGCAGTCGGGGCCATAGTTCCAGCATGTCTCGCGCATGGATATCGCGCTGTTGCTCCTCGATGCAGATCGAGCTCCAGATCTGGGAATATTGAGCCTTCCCCGGCTCGAAGCATTCGATCTGGGGCGCCCGTGCGTATTCTCTGGCGGTCTAGCCGTTCCTCGAAGCTCCTCATCCCTTTCATCTTGTCTAACTAGGTCGTCCAGCGAAGCCGGGGGGTCGATCATTTCATCGTCCTCAACTACTATGGGTATCGACGGTTGCCAATCGCCTGTGGCGATGGCAGTCCGATGAAACCTTTCCAGAAGCGGAGAGCCGTTCAAGTCGTAATCCTCATTCTTTGCTTCTTTAGTTGAGGGGCGAGAATTCGTCCTGTGATCTCCCGATCATGCTTCGCTTGATTCGGACATTCCGTTTCTGCCTCGGCCGCCTGGGGCGTCAGGTCACTTATCTCAATGTCCGAACCCGGCATTGCAAATGCTTCCCCAAGGGCTTCCACTTGATCGTAATCAATCGTATCGTGCCCGGGGGACCACCTCTCGTCTTGGACGGGGTGGTCAGCATCCATGATTGAGGACAAATCTCGGCCGAGTGACACTTGATAAGTGGCATACTCAATGTCACTCTCCATGGAGTTAATATCGTTTCCATCATCAAACTGTTCGTCACTGTCTTGGCTGGATTGTCCGTTCAGAGCCATCGGGATAGGGTGAGTCCTTTGTGTGTGTTCCCCATCCGTCTGGGACGGTGGGGTATATACGCCTCTGGACCTTTCAGTTTCTCCTGACCAACTGGCTTGGCCAGCGGCCGGTACGACAGTCCGCGTAGCAATCGGGCTGGAGTTTATCGTTTCCGAAGATACGGCAATTAGCGACCTCGAGAAAGCTCCTCGTCTAATATTTGCTGTTGAGCCGTCTCGCCTCGCCGGGTCTGGGGTCTGCTCACGATCTCCGATCGGAATCCAAGAAGAGAACCGTCTCTGGACAAATCTACAACCTCTCCCCTACCCCTTCCCCGGGTGACCTGAGTGGCCATAGAAGAGGAGGGAAGGCGATAGAAGAAGAGGGAAGGCAACCCCTTCCCGGGCCGCCGTCCTGTGGTCCTTGCCCGTCATGTTGTACAACTTGTGTCATGAGCTCGTCTCTGGCGGGCAATTCGGCTGTCTCATCATAGCTCATCCCTCTTGCGACTTGGTCGCGGGTTTCGGCTGATAACCAGTCTTTCCTCTGAGAATCGGGGCAAGATGACAAAGGAATCAAGGTCTCGTGTTCACTCTGCTCAGTAGTAGAGGATACTGGAAGAGACATCAATGAAACAGCAAGTAACCGATAAGCAATTGTACTCAGGAGTAGTAAGGGAGGAGGCCGGCCGGCCGACGACCGACGACGCGCGGCGGCCGAGGGCTGGCGCGCTCCTTTTTCTCCTTGAAGCACAAATAGCTGCGGTACAAAGCCGCAGAGTCAAAGAGTGGCAAGGCAGGCAGTGAGAGAAGCAAGTGTAAGAAGAGGCGGAGAGGAGCATATTTACTCATGCGGGAAGAAGGGAGAAGTGAAAGGATGGAGGGGGGGAATGCGAGGAAGAGGAGGGGGGAAGTGAAGGGAGCAGGCCTTCTCAGAAGGCAGCGGGCCTTCTAAGGAGCCATCCGGCCTTCAGAGGAGCTTTCCGAGCCCTCTCCGAAGACAGAAGCGGCTTCTCACCAGGCCTGAGGACTCCTGAGGACCCCCGACGCCTTCTGAGAGGGCCTGCCCCCTACCACCTCCCACGAGGACGCACCAGTAACCAGTACTGCGTGTCCTCCTCAGAAAGCGTGCGTCCGACCCGAACGGACGGCACGAGCACCCTGCAGTGCTGCATCGCTTCCCGAGCGGTGCGGCCAGAGAGCGCCCGCCACGGAGCTCCCACCACTCGAGACTTGTCGGCGAGAGCGCGTCGCCCCAAGGGGGCGACGCACACATGGTTGAGCAGGGACCGACCGTCCCGGCATTCCTATAGTCCTACCACGGGATTTGAACCCAAAACATGTTCTAAGGACAAAAGCCAAGTTCTTAGAACATGAACCCGATGCGTTAAAACAATACAGTCCCAGCCTGAAATGTTCTAAGAACATTTCGTGGGAACCACAAAAGGTTCTTAGAACATTGTTTGGTAGGGCTATTGGCGAGCCAGGACGCTTCGCCACTGCTTGACATGGGGGGGAGTGAGGAGGAAGAGGCATCCTCAGAAGGCGGTGGGCTTCTCAAAAGCCCTCCGGCCTTTCGAGAAAACATCGGCGCCTCCGGGGAAGGCCTCGAGAACTGCTCGGGAGGCCGGTGGGCTCCCGATCCCTCCGCGCAGGCCCGCTCCTTCTTGCTTCCCTCCCAGGCTCGCCGCCGAATGTTGGAGACCTGGAAAAGGGCGCCAACATCAGCGCAGGGGCTTGCCTCTGCCGGGAGAATGTGATCCCAGACTTCTTTGTCGGTGGTACTCTTTCGGCCACCTGGAAGTCCGAAGGTTACCACCATCGCCGACATGGGGATTCTCTTCCCTCGGTGGAGGCACACAGCCCATCATGGCGGTGTCAACCTCAGGCCTCCGGGAATGGTGTCAGTACAGTCGGCCCGTATCAGAAGGATGCACGATGAGGATGCAGGGGCCTTGGAAGGCCGCTTCGCAGCTTTTCGGGCGGGGCGCGGCCAGCGAAAGTTGCCAATGAGGCAGGGATGCAAGGGGGATACCCTTGGGAAAATTGCCCATCCTTGCTATGCGGTTTGACTGTATGTTGGGCATCGATAAGCCCCTATCCCCACTGGCGTTGCCTGGGCCCCACTGGCCGACTCACCCCCCTGGATGCGGGTCTAGGCTCTTCCCTTCGGGTCTCGTGAGGCATATCCCCCAACTGGGGTGGCAGGATGGTGGGGATCGGGATAGGGATCAGGATGGGGCTAGGGATCGGTTAAACGATACTGATATGCTGGGGCGACGCCGATCGGCTCCCGTACTTCGGCATCGGCCGCTTCAGCGGGTCGCCCGCGCACGTGCGCCAATGCGCCGTGGCCGCCGCCGCCGCCGCCGGGATCCGGCCGCGGGCCCAGAGGCGCTCCAGCCGGGCATACACCGCCTGCAGCTCCGGCCGCATGCCGAGGAGCCTCCAGGGGGGCCCCGATTTGTGAGCGCCTCCTTCTTCGGCGTTTCGGCACTGGGCGAAAGGGGAGGGAGGGGGATGGGGTCTGGCTCAGGACCCCTGCTGACTGCGACTGTTTGCGGCAGTGTGCCCCTGGGGGGGGAGGGGCTCCACCTGCTCGAAGCAAGCGCCAAAGACAGCCAAGATCGGACGGGGAGGGGGGGTGCGACGGCCCGCGCCGGTCGGCGAATCAATGAGTAAGAAAACCATCACCTTCGGATCCACCGCTCTTTGGGCGATCTCGTGAGGGCAGGAACTCCTGCTCTCCTTTCTGAAGCTCTTCTGGTATGTAGATTTTTTGTCGGCCCTGCCTTGCCGTCGCTGCTTCCACGGCACCCTTTGCGGAGATATCCGCCCGCATACCTGTTCTGTGGCCTGAATGTCCGCCCTACTTTTTCAAACTGTTTGGGGTGCATTTCCGATGCACTTTAGAATCCAAACGTGAACCAAAGTACGGCGGATCCGAAGTCAGGGGAAAGGGGGGGGCACACGGGAGCTCTGACATGACCCAGGCACCAGTTATGAGGAAAGTCATGGAAGCCTCGCGCGGCAACTTCAGACCCAATTTTCGTCGGATTCACGTCGGACTTACCTCGGAACATCGCCGCGCGAGCGTCGTCCCGTACCTGATGGTGCGGACGTGCGGACTAGATAATGCAACTGTGGGGGCGGGTTCAGGCCAGGCGTTACTTGTTGTGCAAGGGGCCGAGGGCGCTCCGAGGCCACAGGCATGCTGGGCACAAAACGGTACATAAGAGCGAGAGGAGGGAGAGGAGGGGGGGAAAAACTTAAAAGAGGTAAACGGCGGCGGATCACACACGCAGACCACAAAATACCACAAACGCCTCCAGCAGAGCTAAATGTGGGGGCGGGTTCAGGCCAGACGTCACTTTTTGCGCAAGGGGCCCAGGGCGCTCCGAGGCCACAAGCATGCTGGGCACAAAACGGTACCACACATGCTAGCTTGGTAATCTGGCCCTCGAGGCCGCCACAAAAACAAAACAGACATTAACCCGACGTGATAGTTTTACAGATCCTGGCGACAGCGGCTAAACGGCGTGCACTGTCCAGCACGGCGTGCACACCCTCAACTGCGACGGCCTTCGGGGTTGGGCCCTTTGGGCCGCGTCCAGGTGAGGAAGCCCGAGAGACCCGAGATGAAACTTTCGAGATCTGTCACATCTAGCACGCGCACACGAGCATTGCAAAGAAAGATTGTGCAAACCATTCACATGCCAGCCAACGATGCGCCATGTTCGATGCACACGGCCTTCGTACATACAGGCGTCGAACGTTGCCTCCGACGAGGCCGACTGGAGCAGTCGTAGAACAGAAGGGAGGTACCACAGCGCACTGCTAGCAGGGTGCTCGAGAACCGTCTGCATGTTGCACTGCACACACACGAGAAGCGTACGCAACAGGTGATGGGTATCATCATTGGCAACCTTGACCTGAGCCTGCACACTGGGATTAAGGCGAGGGAGCCCGAGGGGCCGATCCGACGACCTGGCGGGAGGCCTGGCGCACGCAGACCAGGAGGGAAGCCCAAGCCGAAACCGCGCCCCCGCGACGCAGGAGCTGCGAATCCAGCCGTGGACGACGAGGGATACCCCAGGCGCAGCCAGGTCGTCGGCATGGCACCGACTCGGGTCCAAAACAACACTACCCAAGCCCAGGTGGTGACGCGCCTTATCAATGGGATTCAAGTGTGCGCCGCACACAAGAAAAATGAAGCGCGGCAGAGCGTGGCTGTGCGAGATAGCGCGAGAGAAGAGCCGGCTCAGCCGAAGCGCCAACTGTGGCTCGGCTGCGGGGCGTGAACCTGCTTGGGCAGCTTCGCTGCCGGCAGGTCGGCTGGCAGAGGCGGCGGCGAGCACGCTACCGTAGTCATCTTTGTCGAGACGAGCTCTGCCTCGCGCCCGTCCACGGCGCTGTCCAGCGCTACCGCGCACTGCGGGAGCTCGGCGATGAGCGGCTGCCTGACCCGCGCCTCGCGGAGGACCAGGCGGATCGCCGAGGGCGCGAAGTTCCACCGCGGATCCCTCGTAGCGCGGTGGCGCTTCAAGCCCTGGAGGAGGGGCCCCAAGCTCACGTTGTCGATGATGACGCTGTCGTCGGTCCCCCCCGTCTTGCCAGGGCCGCCCGTCGTCGCTGAAACCGCGCGCAGCTCCACCAGGCTGGCCGCCGCCAGGCGATAGGCCACGCTGGGCCTGAAGTAGGTGTCGAACGCCCACCCCCCGAAGACCGCCTCCGCGAACCTCCTGTCCAGCATCGGGACCCCCACCGCGGCGAGCAACGCCGAGCGCGGCAGGGAGAGCCGCACCTACGGTGCCACTGGGCGGCTCCAGCCCACGAGAGCCCGCGCGGCCCGCGGCAGAGCACGGGGCCCCGCCAGCAGGCGCGGCAGCAGGTGGTGAAGGGCTGCCATCGTCATGCGCACCGTCGCAGTGTCGAACCCGTCCAGGCGGAGGTTCTCGAAGAAGACCAGCAGCAATGCGCCCAGCTCGGCGGCAGTCGCGAACGACTGCCCCGTCCACATGTACCACTGGAGGAAGCGGCCGTCGCGAGCGTGGCAGAGGTCCTGGGTCCGCTGTGCCACCGCGGGGTTCTCGCGGAACGAGGTCTTCCCCCCTAGCAACTGCCGCAGCCCTGGGTGCTGAAGTGGTCGCTGGACGTCGAGCGCCTGGGCGGCACTCGGCGACCTGGTCGCCTGTCTCAACTTCGAAGTCCTTCCATGGCCCTAATAAGAAGCCCGTCCGCGAGGGGCCATCCGCTACGTTCCGCTCAATCGGAATCCATCGAACGACCGCGCGGATGTCCGCGGTGAGACTGACGGCGGCCAGGCGTCGGAGGAGATGACGCAAGCGCTGGGAACCCGCGCGGCCCGGGTCGACCCTTGCCGCAACTCAAAGCCAGAGCCAAGTTGTCGACGATAAAACAGAATGCGATGCCCGTGATTACCCGTTTTTCCGAGCGGCGTGACTAACAGCGAAGCAGAGCGCCTCCCCCTCATACTCCAGAATGTTGAGACCCATTCGGCGATGACGGCTTGAATGAATGATGACCCACTCCTAAAAATTGTAAAGCACCGACGGCACCTCGACGGAATCCGGGACGGAGTCGACGCCCCCCTCCCCGAGCAGCACGTCCGACGGCAACGAGCAACCGACAGCAGCATCTTGAGCACCCTCATCGCCCCCTCCGCCTTCGCACGCATGGGCCCTGGCAGAGATCGCCTCCGAGACTCTATACCTCCACTTCTCAGCAACGCGGCCCGTGGACGAGACGACGAGGGGGTCCAGCTTTTCCATGCACACACCCTTCCCGCACGGCGAAGCATCTGACGCGTAGAAGGTGCCTAACCAAGGCACGCGAGAGGACGCCCGCATCAACGGCAACAGAGCGGCCACGGCTGAGAGTTCCTGTCGGACTGAGGGCCATAGCTTCATGGGAGTGGGACCCGCAACTTGAATGAACGATACACACCATTGACTATCGACAGGCACTCTCTCCGCATGATCATCGCCCACGCGGCGTGACCTACCATGGGCGTCAGGGCTCCGCGCGACGCAGACCCGGGGCTCAAGAAGGCCAGGATGGCCTGCCGCAGGCGTGCAAGGCGGTCGGGTCTCGCGCGCGGCATCCCTGTCTTGCCCGAGAACTGGATGCCCGTGAAGACGCCCTCCGACTGAGCCTCCGCGAAGTCGTGCACGGGCAACCCCGAGAGGTCAGCACCTGTGCCAGCTCGCGGGCCCTGGCGGTCGCCAAGGCGGCTGACTGGGACACCGCGCAAAAGTTGCCCACGCACCCCGCTGCCACCAGGTCGCTCTTACTGACGAGCGGGGCGGGCGCGGCTCCATCGGCGAGCTGGCGGTTCGGCTGGATCCCCACGTCGAGCGCGCCCCGCACCAGAGCCGACTGGCAGAAATAGAACGCCCAGTTCCACCCCATAGGCATCACATGCACGACCAGCTGCGGAAAGGCGCGGCGACCCGCACTCATGGAGCCGACGGTCTTCAGGCCCGCGAAGCGGTTGGAGATCGTGGGCAGGCGGAAGAAGTCCCTCAGGTCGGGAGGCACCGCCATGTGGTAGGAGGCGCACTGGATGCCCCCCTGGGCCGCATAAAAGTCGTCCGACGACTCGGGCGAGGCCCAGGCGGATGGGGTAGGCAGCACGGTGTTCGGCGGAGACTTGAAATAGGCGTTCGCCACACTCGTGTCGAAGACCAGCCTCAGCTTGCCGCCGCTCTTCTGGACAAAGAAAATCCCAACGGAGTGGGAAGAAGAGGGAGGTGACGCAACAGTCCACTCGATCATGTGGCGCTGCAACATCGCGTTCAAAAGCTCAGCATACTTCCGAGGATCGCGAAGCAGAGGGTCGACGTAGGGATGCTGGACACCTAGCGACTCCTGAAGCTCCTCGACCTCGCCTGCGGATCTCAGCATACTCTGCCTCCAACCCTGCAACTGAAAGGCATCGGCCTGCTGCGCGACGGGGCCGACCTCGACGGGAGGTCCCGAGAGCGCAGGCCAGGCCGCGCGGGCCTTGTCGTAGGGTCTGACCCGCGAGGCGTTCTGGTAGCCTGGGGTCGTCGAGAGCACCTCTGCGAGGGATGTTTCACAAAACTGGCGTTGCTCACTGTGCCCAGGAGGCAACTCAAAACGACGGTAATGCTCTTGCAGCTCTCCGACAACAGCATGCTGCGCCTGGGGGCGGACCACATCCTCACCAGCGAAACGCACCGCACCAGCACGTACATGGAGCCAGTTGAGAGCGCCGATACCCTCGTTGCACCACCGGCGCCAAGCCGCGCCACGAGCCGCCCGCCGGCGGGGCCGCCGACCTTTAACGGCGTGAAGACGGTCGTCCACGTCGAGGGGCGGCAGCGGCAGAGCATCCCGCTGGCGAAGGCGAGGGGCATGTGGGGGGCCCAAGCCAGGGGGTGGCCCGAGGGGCCAGGGGCTCGGCGAGCTGGGCAGCCCTGGGGCTGGCCCCTTCCCAGCTCGCGTCCCCAGGGAGAATCATGGCGCCCGCAAGGCGCGCTCCTCACGCGCCTTGCGTCGTTCGTTCGATGTCGCCGCCTCGCTCCGCACCTGCTCGGCGAAGAACTGCATCAGAGCGGGGCAGATGCACGCGTTACCCTTTCTTGCCTTGACCCTTGAGCGCGACGGCCGCTTCGCGAGTCTTCTCGTCGCAGACTCCCCCCTCGATCAGCTGCAACTGCCGCGCCAGATACTCGAAGCTGGCCAGCTCAGGGATGACGAGCTGGACGTACGCCCTCGACGCCTCCTGGATGCGGCAGATGGTCTCGAGCTGCTTCGCCGCCTCGATGCCTTCGGCCAGCCCGACGACGGCGAGCCCCCGCGTGAGTCACACCACAGCACCTCCAGCCATCCGAAGCACGAACTGGAGGACCCCGAACACCGTCTGAGGCCCACGGACGGGCCACTCGTCACGCTCGTACACGGTCTGCTGCCTGAGCGCGTCGCCGAAGGAGCGGTCGCAGCGACCGCGCGAGACCCTAGCCACCGCCAGGGCGCGCGGGTCGCCGCACGGGGGCTCCCCCGCAGGAGGCGTGGCCGTGCCTCCAGCGTGGGCGCCAAGAGGGGTGTCAGGCCTGAGCGCCGCGGCCAGCGCATCCCCCAAAGGGGCAGGAGGCGGGAGAGGCGCGGCGGCGGTCCCCAGCGCAGGCGGAGATGCGCCCACCAGCGACGTCGCCGCGGCGGGCAGGGAACCCGCGGGCGGGTCGCGCAAGAAAAGCAACCCAGGCGCTATCCCGAGCACGCTCCCCTCGCCGAGCTCCAGCACCGCCTGCCACCGCCTCGCGAGGCGCGTCCCACACCTGGACCGCCGTGGGGAGGAGCTCGAAGCGGTAGACGCTCGCCGCCTCGAACCCGTCGACCGCGGCCCCCTGCCAGCTCAGCGGCTTGGCGCCCCTGACTTTCCTGGAGGGCACCTGACCCTCGTGGTAAACGTCGCCGTCGGCCGTCATGATGAGCGTGCCCTGGCTGACGAGCCGTTCGCGCCAGATCCCACGACCAGGCACGGCGAACCACACTAGGTAGAAGCTGCCAACGGCCATCGGCATCGCGTCAACGGACGCTGATGCCCTCCGCCGTGCCTGACGGGCCAGCTCCACCGCCGCCTTCTCGAAGTCGGTCTGCCCGTGGACGGCGCCCTCCTCCTGCACACTCGTGCACGCCGAAGGCGCTGACGGCCTCCTCCTGCGCCGAACCTCGCAAAGATGACGACAGCGGACACCAGAAGCCCAGCCGCGAAGCCGTGCAAGAAACCGAGAGCCCAGCACTTCGAAAGGTGGACGAGACAGGCGCCGCCGTCAGGAGCCCCACCCCAGCGGGGCGGGAGCATGTGAGGGGCGGCCAGTTCAGCGTTGGCCCGCCGATGCACGCGGGACAGGGATCGGAAAGCGCGAAGTCGGGCACCGCTTCGACGAGAAACGCTGGCCTTCCCTGAAAGACTCAAGCGATGTAAACGGCGGCGGATCACACACGCAGACCACAAACGCCTCCTGCAGAGCTAAATCTTGCACGCCGCGCGAAGCTTGCAGGACTTTTTTTCGTACGTGTAGCACCAGCAAGAGGAAGGCCGGAGCGTTTCCACCATTCTCCGCCCTTCGCCGGCTGGCTCCCTCAGAGTCCTGGACTGCACTGAACCCCGGGGCCCCGAGAGGAGGGGTAATAAAACGATGCCCATGCCGATGCTTCCCCGACCTCTCCTGGGCTGCGTTTCCGCCAGGCTCTCGAGGCGAGTCCAGCCGTCAGAAGAGTAACAACCTCTCTGAACTCCCGAATCTTCTCAGAAGGCGCGAGGGCTGCTGAGCAGTCCCGCCGCCTTCTGAGAAGGCCTTCTCCTTGTCACCTTCCCCCCCATCGCTCGCCGCCGATATGCAGTCTGTTCTTCTCCGAGCCGTGGCGAGGAGGGACGGGCAGCAGCATCGGCATACTCGTCTCTCCGAGGGGAGCCTCAGGCACGAGAGCATCCTGGATACGCGCTTCCAGTTGTGATTGCCCTCCGCGCAGTTGACCTTCCAGGCCACCCTGGCGCGCTCCTCGAAGCTGTCCTCGCCCCTAGGAGGAGGAGGAGGAGGAGGAGGAAGAAGAGGAGGGGGAGGAGGAGGAGGAGGAGGAGGAGGAGGAGGAGGAGGAGAAGGATGACGACGAGGAGGAGGACCTCCTCTTCGACACGCACCTCGGGTGGCCGCGCCAATCGACCCACTCCAGCCCCAGGAGGTCGGAGGAACAGAACCACCTCCTCCTCCTCCTCGTCCTCCTCCTCCTCCTCGCGCGGATATCCGAGATGTCCGACGATGTGCTTTTGCTCTCCTGTCCGCGGCCCCGTGGAGGTCCCGACCCTCCTTCCCCGCGGCCAGTTGCCTGCTCCTGCAAGGCAATGTTTGCTGGCCCCGCGTCCCGATCACGGGCCCTGGCGGCCGAAATCAGGGAGAGACGCCCGGATCTAAAGCATCGTGCGTCATCGGAGCTGAGGGACAACGTCAGAGGTGGACTGGCTCGGGGAGGAAACGTCGAGCGACCAGAAAAACTGTACATCATATCGTCGGAGATCTGGCCTTGTCGGGTCGGCACTGAACCATCCCCCGCGCGCGCCCATGCCGCGGCGCGCGGGGCACGCCGGTGCGGGGAACGGGGCCGGGCGCCGAGGCGAGAATTCCGCGCGGACCTCCGTGAGTTTGCGTGGCGTGTGTGCGGTCTTCCCAGACCTCCAGCTGACTACATACCAAACCTCCCCAACCCGAAGTCGCCGTTGGGCCTGTAGATTTCCAGTTTGGGGTGGGCATTCCGGACAGTTTCGGGGAAATGCCATGTGCCATTTGGAACCCGTACACCCCCCAACCCGAAGGTTGGGGGGGTCTGGAGCCTTCGGGCTGGGTTGGGGTGTTTTGGTGAGCAGTGACCGACGTCGTGGTGTCACTACTCAAACGAGATCTGGACCTTTTCCATGGGGCTGGTTTTGTTGAAGGCCCCATGGGGTCCAACAGGGGCCCCTGGAGGCCAGTGTGGGCAGAGCCACTCCGTCGTGGCCTTCCCTGGGGCACGCCGCTGCGAAACGTAGCAACACCGTGAAAAGTCACGACTGGAGCCCTACAGCCCCTCCTTCTTCGGGGGCGGTCTAGAGGGGAGTGTCCAAGACGGGGGGGTGCAAATCATGGCCGGCGGCATGTGCGCGGCCCAAGGGGGGGCCGGCGGCATGTGCGCGGCCCATGGAATCCCCCCCCCCCCCCTAATCTTCACCCCCCCCCTTTGCCGCCCCCGACTTCTGCGGCCTTCTTCGACCCGGACCGATCCGCAAGCCCCGGGGTCCGAAGCCGGTCGGCGCGAAGGAAGGGCAGCGCCCACCCCTCGGTGCTCCCTCGCGCCGCGAGGCGGTCGGTGCTTCTGTCCCTCCGGCAGTGCAGGAACAGCACCAAGCCCCTGTCGACGTTCTTGATGATTCCCGGGTCGGCGCGCGCCTCCCGGATCGCCCGGGGCGTGAGCACGGGGGCCTCCGGGTGGGCACGGCTGCGCTCGTCGGTGGGGAAGAGCCACTGGATGAAGTCGTGCACCCTCTCCTGCGCTCTTGGGAGCAGCGAGTGACGGGGCACGAGGGGCAGGGGGAGGCGCGCGCACCCTCTCCCGCAGCAGCGGGCAGGAGTCTCCAGGAACCCGTTCCTTCTTCCCTCCCCGTCCTCTCACCCCCCTAAGTGCATTCTGCCCCCATTGAAGCTCCTCCCTCCCCTCAGGAATGCCCCCCCCCCCGCCCCCAACCCACCCCCCACACCTAATGGCCACCCGGAGCCACCCTGAACCCTCCGAACCTTCTGCTCAGAGCCACGTCAGAACCTCGAACAAGTCCCCCTCGACCTCCTCGTTCTCCTCGTCCTCCTCCTCTTTACGCTAGACCAACATTAGGAGCGAGCCTGTTGCGTTTATCTCCTCCTCCTCCTCCTGCTCCTCCCTTTTCCCTTTGTCAAGGCTTGGAGCTCCGCGCAGAAAGCCACCGAAGGTGGCCCTGACTGGCCCTGGCTAGCCTCAATTGGCACCCAGGGGCACGGCAGGTTCGCACCGTCAAGTAAGGTTCCAAGAGGGGTTCAGTTGATGCCAGCCATGTTGATATCCACGGAGCGGTTCCTCTGCAATCTAATCGATTCCTATTTGATATATATATATATATATATATATATATATATATATATATTATATATATATAGTATTATATATATATAGGTGCGGCATATATATAGATACGGCGCATCTATATATATATATATACATATACATTTATATACACATATACATATATATATGGGTGTGTAGGGTATTCATATTTTTATGTGCGTCACACGTATATTTATAGATTGTGCACATTATGTATACACATTCTCGGCGCATATATACATAATATTATACACATATGCGGCATACGCTTATATGGCACACACACACACATGGCACACCCACACACATGTTTATATACATATGCGGCACACTTCTGCGACATACAATTGCAAATGCGTGTACACGCATATACGCGTAGTTGTATTAAGCAGGTATTGATGAATGTATACATGTGTAATCATACATGCCACTACACACATATATGTAGATATATACATATACCCGTATACATTCATGTTCATATATATATACATGCATACATATATATATATATATATACGCATGCACGCACCCCGAGGCGAGGCCGTGATAGCAGCGAGAGCGCGCGGACGGCGCAGGGAGCGCGACGGCGGCGCCTGCGGATTGGGAGAAGCGGGAGCGGAGCGGGAAGGGAAAAGGGGGGAGGCGTCGTCGTCGGTGGTGTCTGCGTCGGCGTCGGCGTCGGCGTCGCCGCCGCCGTCGTCGTCGCCGCCGCCGCCGTCGTTGTCACCGTTGTCACCGTCGTCGCCGCCGTCGTCGTCGTCGCCGCCGCCGCCGCCGTCGTCGCCGCCTCCGTTGTCGTCAGACGTCAGAGTCGACGTCGACGACTGCGTCGGCGACCCCGCGGCCTCAACTTGGGCGGCGGCGCTCCCCCCGCCTCCCGCGGGCCCCTCCGGGACCTGGATCCCCCCCCCTTCGACGGCCAGCCGCCGCTGCCCGCCGCCGCCGCCGCCGCCGTCGTCGCGTCGTCGTCGTCGTCGCCGCGGTCGTCGTCGTCGTCGTCGTCGTCGTCATCGTCGTCGTCGTCGTAGTCGTCGTCGTCGTCGTCTTCGTCGTCGTCGTCGTCGTCGCCGCCGTCGTCGTCTTCGTCGTCGTCGTTTTCGTCGTCGTTGTAGTCGCTGTCGTCGCACCGTCGTCGTCGTCGTCGTTGGTCCCCAGAGGTTGGGGGAAGAACCGCCTCGGGCTCGCTCGGTGTCTGAGGCTCTGAGGCCCCCTTGGACGTCGGCTCGGGGTTTCTCCTGAGTCGCTGGGCCCTTTGGGCCCTCTTGGGCCTGGCTTGTCGCGGCCCTATAAGAGGGGCTGCCGTCGCGTCCTGGGGCGGTTTCTTCTCCTGGCCTCATGCCCCCGCCCCCGCCCGCCCCCTCCTAATCCCACCCCGGCGCTCGCTCAACCAGACCCGCCTTTTTGCGCATCCTGCGTTCGGCGCGGCGCCAGCTTTTGCGAATCCGCGCGGAGCCAGCGCCGGGCGCAAGAGAACGTCGCCATCTACAAGGGGGACAGGCCAGGCCCCCCCCCCGCTAAGTTGCAACGTCCAACAAAAAACCGAACCTTGACAGTGAACACGGCAAGACGACAAATCACGGCAACAAAACCGCTGAGACCTTTCCCAATCTCCCAGACCTCCGAGGTCCTGCTCCCTTTCGGTGCGCAGGAGCGGTCGGCACCGCATCGGAAAGTCGGGTCGGATCCGAGAGCATGTCGAGTCGAGCCTCACTGGCACGGAGTCGGATTCGACCGCGGCAGGATGCACGACAACGCCATGCAAACATCGGGTCGCATCGGATTCTCGGAATAATGCAAACGAATCGATTCAGGTTGATCAGATCAAATTGGATCACGGTGCAGCCAACCCGTATAAGAAGGACGCACGATAGAGATGCAAGGGCCCCGGAAGGCCATGTCGACACCTTGCGGGCGGGGCACGGCCAGCGAAAGCAGCCAAGGATGGGCCGAAGGGGAAACATGCGAGGATAATCTTGGAAAATGGTTCATCCTTACAACGCGGATTGATTTCACGTGGCTTGCTGACGACTCGGCTCCGTCCCTGGGTGTACTTTTCTTCTACCCGGGGTCGGCCTTGGATGGTCGGTCAGGGCCAGAGACGTGCATCCATGGTGCGGAGACTCGGGAGGCACGCGCCCGGGGACGCACTTACCCACGTTAATACACATCTCGGTCAATCGAGCTTTGCACGATCCTGCAAGGCCCGGCGAGATCCTGCGCCCTAGCCTGGGTCAGTGCGCCCCTGGCTCTGCAAGAGATCGCAAAATCTGGCGATGGTTGACCCGTGTTTGCATCGACTCCGTCTCAAAACTCCCGACAACGTTTTACGTCTCGGGTCCCGGCCCCGACACGACTCCAGAGGGGTGGATACGGGCGCGCCCCAGCGGCGGATCTCCAACTGGTCGTTGTCCCAGCGGAGGATCTTGTCCAGCGTCCGACCCTCGCCGCGAGGGTGCGAACCCGCGCGAGCAGGGATGATGATGATGAGGAGGAGAAAGACTAATGTAAACCCAACGACGCTTCGACAACGTTGCAACAAAAACCCTCCCAAACCATGCTCCCTGTTCATTGGTCCCTTTACGAATTCGCTATCATCGCGGAACGTGCTCCGTTTAAAAACGAACGTCGGATACGCCTCGGCTGTGCCAGAAAACCGCTCCTGGGACTCCAGCGCCGCGAATCCACGTGACTGTTTCGTCCTGACCATCCTGAAGCGTGCCAGAACACCACTCCTGGGACTGCGTATCAACGTGGTTGTTGCGTCCTGATAACCGTAGATCGTGCCAGAACACTACCCCTGGGACTGCGTGTCAACGTGACTGTTGCGTCTTGACAATCTTAGACCGTTCTAGAAAGCAACTCCTGGAACGTCAACTCTACGGATCCTCAAAATTGCCACAATAATTGAAATCAGAAGCGGCAGCGTGGAATGGGGATTCCCCGCTGCAATGTCCCGGCGGAATACCGCGGGTCACGCCCGGAGACCGCGAGGAGGACATCCACCTCCACGCCCATATCCTCCTTGATGTCCACCACCTCATCCTCCTCCGTCCTTCGCAACAAGCACCTGCTCGTGCACCTTCTCATTCAACACCACCCTGGCATCCCCCTCCCCATCGTCCTCCCCCTCCTCCTGGCCATCCTGGTCCTTCTCCTCCTCCTCCTCCTCCTCCTCCTGTTCGTCCTCCTCCTCCTCCTCGTCCTGCTGCTCCTCCTCCTCCTCCTCCTCCTCCTCCTCCTCCTCCTCCTCCTCCTCCCTTACCTCCTCCTCGTCCTCCTCCCTCTCCTCCTCCACCTGCTCCTGCACCAGATCATCCTTTTCCTTCGCCTGCTCCCTGCCCTCTTCGTCCTCCTCCTGCCCGCAGACGGGTTGATATGCGTCCCCCAGGTGCGGTTGCGGTTGCGCGCACGCGGGCGGGTTGAAATGTGTCGCCCAGTAGCGGTTGCGGTTGCGCGCCAGCGGGCGGGTCAAAATGTGGCGATTGCGGTTGTGCGCCCGCGGGCGGGTCGAAATGTGTCGCCCAGTTGCGGTTGCGCGACCGCGGGCGGGTTAAAATGTGTCGCCCAGTTGCGGTTGCGGTTGCGCGCCCGCGGGCGGGTTGAAATGTGTCGCCCAGTTGCAGTTGCGGTTGCGCGCCCGCGGGTGGGTCGAAATGTGGCGCGTAGGTGCGGTTGCGGTTGCGCGCCCACGGGCGGGTTGAAATGTGTCGCCCAGGTGCGGTTGCGGTTGCGCGCGCGCAGGCGGGTTGAATGTGGGCCCACTTGCGGTTGCGGTTGCGCGCCCGCGGACGGGTCGAACTGTGTCGCGTAGTTGCGGTTGCGGTTGCGCGCCCGCGGGCGGGCTGAAATGTGGCGCCCCACATGCGGTTGCGCGCCCGCGGGCGGGATGAAATGTGGCGCCCAGTTGCGGTTGCGCTTGCGCGCCCGCGGGCGGGTTGAAATGTGTCGCCCAGGTGCGGCTGCGGTTGCGCGCCCGCGGGCGTGTTGAAATGTGTCCCCCAGTTGCGGTTACGGTTGGGCGCCCACGGGCGGGTCGAACTGTGTCGCCCAGTTGTGGTTGCGGTTGCGCGCCCGCGGGCGGGATGAAATGTGTCGTTCAGGTGCGGTTGCGCTTGCGCGCCCGCGGGCGGGTTGAAATGTGTTGTCGCACAGTTGCGGTTGCGCGCCCGCGGGCGGGTCGAAATGTGTCTGTCGCCCACTTGCGGTTGCGCGCCCGCGGGCGGGTCGAAATGTGTCTGTCGCCCACTTGCGGTTGCGCGCCCGCGGGCGGTTTGAAATGTGTTGTTCACGGCGCCCTCCTGACGTTCAGTCAGTCGATCAGTCAGTCAATCAATCAGCCAATCAATCATTCACTGGCGGGCACGGAATTTCACCCGGCTCCGCCGGGAACAACAAATGCGCGCGGCGCTGAGGCGGGATCCACGGTTTGAAAAGGAATCGCTTTCCACCGTTGAAACTGATGCAAACTTTGGAGACGAGTGCGCTCGGCGCTGCAGTGGGATCTAACGTTTGACAAAAGAGCCAAACCATCCTTGAAGCTGCTGCAAGCTTGTAAGACGAACGCGCGCGGCACTAAGGCGAGAGGGGCAGCTTGAAAATCACCCGCCCTTCACACCTGAAACTGTCATTAGGAGGCAACTACTGGAAGGTTTTCGTCGGAAACATTAAAGAGGATTGAGCTCCATTTGGAAGCTGTTACGCCGGAGTGGGCCTCGGACTAAGCAGGATTAAGCCGGATTAAGCAGGACTAAGCGGGATTAGACCGGAGTAAGCGGGATTAAACTGGATTAATCCGGATTTCGGACCAGGGCGAAAACAGAATTCGACCTCCCAGGAGTTGCATCCGAACTGTCACACACTTGTACGAGGAATATGCGGGGTGCAACAGCGAGAGCCACATGTTTCAACATCGCCCGCCCTCCATCCTTCAAGGCCGTGGC